GTCTTCATCAACCGAGGCAAACTCCTCCATTTCCTCTACCATCCAATGTCTTAAGAAAACAACCTACATAGACAAAAATGTTCATGTTTTCCATAAAACACCAGAACAATTGGATTACAGTAGGGAAGTAGCTGCTACTATAGGAAACCGACTTTCCTGTTTCAGTATTATTGAATACAAATAATATAGAATTATAAAACAAGCATCTGTTCTTATTGCTTCCTCCAGAAGTAATTATACGTAATTATTTGCTTTGTCCAGAGCAAAAACAAGTAACTTTTTATCTACTGGCACATCAAACTTCAGGTTTAATAAAACAGGGTTTTGTTTCATTTGGGGTTTTGTTGTTTTTTGTTAGGGGGGGAGGGGGCGACGTGGTCTGGTTTTTTGTTCGATTGGTTTTTTTAATCAAGAGGGGGAAAAGGAGAATATGCATACATTTGGTCAGGGAATATTCTCCAAAGACTAGACAATTAAGCTACAATCCAAAGACAACCTTACTTCATACATGTTGGAGAAGCAACAGTGGAACAGGAGCAGAAAAAGTAAATAAGCTGGAAATTATGCTATTTAACAAAAGGGATGATGTAGATTATTATCATCATCATAACACACTGGCTCCATAATGCTTACTTAGTTGTTTTTTTTTCTTGTTTTCTATCTGCTAATGACCACATACTGCAGTATCAATTGAGGTTTTACATATTTATGCAAAAAAAAATTAACTTGAACTACGTACACCTTCAAAACTTCTTACAGTATTTAGGCATCAATCTAATGGGAGGTGTTGTGCAAAATAAAATATTACCCCATCCCAAAGAGCTTATAACTTATACAAAATAAAATGCAAACGGCTTCCAACAATCTACGTTTAAGTTTTACTGCCTTAAGTTTTACTTTTACTTTAACTCAGTATTTACCCTTCTGGCATTCAAATAAATAAGACTGCAGTTTTCAGCTACCAGATTGAAATCCATGTGATTTATTTTGATTTGTTTTATTACTCACTAAGTTTAATCTTACACTTCCAAGCCCTTAATTTCTTGTGGCAAGTAACTCTCATTAGAGTCCAGTGCACACATGGGCAGATGTGACATATGGAAGCACAAAGACAGATGAGGAGGGCAGCCCAGCCCATACTGTGGCAGTTATGCAGAGAGGGGCCAGAAGTGTCTCCCACAACATTCCTTGTGCAATTGTGCTTCCAAGAGTTCTTCCACACAACACATATGGGAAGGAAATCTGGATTGTGGGGTCCAACACCCAGAATATGGGCTAAGAAGCCCCCTGTCATTAACTTGAATCCAAGCACACTACCAAACCACTGGCATGGAGAGATGCTCCCCTGGAGCTCTAAAATTCATCAGAAAAAAACCCAGCAGTTATTTGAATGGTCTTTCTACAAAGGCAATCCTGGAAGAAAAATACAGTTTAGGCATCGAAAGTAGTGAACTCCAGCAGAACCTCAGGAGCCTCAGGCACACCCTGGAACAGGGACAACAATGTTTTCTCAGGCCAGCTTCAATAACTGTGTCAGCTCATCCATCCCACTCTGGAGAGTGCCACTTATTTTCATTATACTCCTAATAAACTATATGGAGAAACACAACATGGCACAGGGATGCATTCTGCTGACAGTTTTCTGTACGGGGAATTTTACTATCCGAGTTTCAGTAAAAGAAAATAAAGCCTAAATGTCAATGAATATCTGAAGTTATCTGGCCACTAGATGGATGTTCATAATAATTATTACATCCTCCCTTCATCTTTACTGTGAATGGCACTTTAAATGTAACATGAGCAGACCATCCCAGAGCAGCCAGCCTGCAACTACGAAGAGTTGTCCCATAGAGCAGCTGCTCTGTTACACATGTTATAAATAAATGCTAAACATTAAGGGATCAGTTCACAAGGGAACAAATCTGTCATGACAAACATGGATAAACACTATGAAATCATTATGTACCTTTCAAACAAAGTAATCTCAATTGTGCAGCAGTGGATACAAGTTCTGCTGAAGCCAACAGTTATTGTAGGAATGCCTTACGTTTCCCGTTTTGAGATTCTACTGTTGTTCCCGAATATAAAACACTGTCAATCACTAATGTCTTGAGGTGGCATTTCTGGTGACAGAGTAGCAGGGTTGTGACAGAAATCAACCCACCAAAAAAACATTTTAAAACACTGCATAATAAAAATACACGTATCAATCCATGTATGAAAAAAAACCACTGATACAAGTTGCAGTTCAGGACTGGCATTCAGTCATTTTTGATTTATGAACTTTTAAACCTCTTCTCCAGTGCATGCAGACAGCCATATAAAGCTGGTGCAAATCTACCAAGTAGGATTGTTTCAAGTGTAATTTAGGCTTCAAATCTTTATTTCTAATTTGCAAGAAGAGAGAACTGCAATTCACACACATCAGAAATACGTCATTCCCTACAGTGAAAGAGGCATTACACTCACCACCTCAGGGTATACAAGGATTATTTTGGCTTAAAATCTATCATGCTGGAGGGCTCTAAACTCACAGTGGCAGATCAATGTGTTACATTCAAGTGCACAAGGCAAACCGTCTTCCTTATTCCATCCCCTTCCTCCTTCCCTTCTTGAAAAACTGAAGCTATTAACTTGAACAATTAAAACCAATGAAAGGTGTTTATTCACAGAATAGGACATGACACAAGCTTGAGGCTCAAGAACAGCAACAACTTCGGCAGTAATAGAGCAAGCCACTGCATCTCTACACAAGAACAATAACACAGTCCAAGACGCATACATCAGCCAGGGCACAGCACTACATCAGAGGAGATTTAGGTAAGATGAGCATTTCCATTCTCGGGCAGGTGACTCATATTAGCCTGCACACCAACAGGTATTCAAAGGGTAACAAAAGTTTGTCTTTAAGACCCAAATGGCAAGAATGGAGCATGAAGCAGTCTTCTGAGTTGCTTTAGTTTCCTGTTTTAAAAATAACTTAGTAAGGAGAATTTTGGGGAGAAATATCCTTGGATACTGTGGTCAGGGTCCTCCTAATAGGCAATAGTGTTTGATGAAAGTTGGCAGATGTTTCAGCCATAGAACAGATTAGACTAGAAAATAATACCACATAAAAGGCAGGAACTTTATTGCATAGAAATGTGAATATAAAGAAACGCAGTGGAAAAAAAAAAAGCATGCTAGTCAAATAACCAAATGTCTATCGATCAAAAGAAACTCTTCTGACATTTGTAATTGTCTTTTAGAACACTACAACAAAACCAAATTATTTTCTAACAGATATGCAAAGTTCAAATAGAGACACACACTAAAAATCAAAGCTACCTTGTCACTGATGCTTAATGCACACAATGTTATCCAAGTGGCAATTTAATACACAATTCTGACCATGACATTCTTGATCCTACATGACCTCCAGTTTCTGCTACTGGATGTTAGATTAAATTCTGACACACATATGCATTCTTCTTACAGTCACATGACAGAATGGATTTTTACCAACCTGGGATTGCACCTGTATCTTTCTACATTCTACAACTTTTCACCATACTGATAATTGTTGTGAAATATTCCAGGTATGTAATTTTGACGGTCAACCTTTCAAGAATTTTTTTTTTCTCCAAATGCATTTGTTTTCAAAACTGTTTAATTATTTTTCCCATTTTCCTTCCTCCCTCTCCCTATTAATATTGCTCATCATTCAGCTTACTATTGAAAAGTCAACACTAGACTGCCCACTCACAAGGTTAGGTTGCATTAATTCTTTATTCTGTGAGCTGTTGGAAGAAAGCTCACTAGGGTAAGGGTAAAACATTCCTCTCATAGGCCAGCAAAGCCTCATTTAGTCCCTGAAGGCACTACGGCAAGACAGGGTGGCTGGGAGCCATCTTTTGAAAAAGAGTAAACTGGGAAAAGGACCTCCTGTGTTTTTGAATGGCACATACAGAACTGAATGGCCTCAGCAAAGAATCCACTTTCACTCAAAATGCTGGGCTGTGGGAATCATCATGCGAACATACATATAAAGGAAATACATAAAAAGGAAACTTCCTCAGAAGAGCAAGACAGGAAACAGAAGCCCATTACTTGGAAGCTCAATCTGTCTTCCAATGTGCTTAGCAGCAGTTCAACAATGCACTGCAGCTTTTTTACAACACTAGGTAAAATTATGACTAAAGCCAGAGCCTCAGAGAAAGGAAAAAAAAAACAACCCACCAGAAAGGTACAAATGCTGATACAGTTGATTAGTTAACATACACAAATAAACATTTGCTAAAATGTCTTTATGCACTTGATCCTGGCTTTAACTTTGAAAGTTAAGCGCTGTCACTGGAGGGAAGTATGACAAGCACAACATGGAATCTGAAAGCCAGAGAAGGGCAGGCGTCATAAACTGTACTCACCTCTAATGTCTGCATTAGTGTGGGCTTAATTGCATCTTTCATCAAAACTGCCAAAGCACCTGTAACTCCCTAAAAAACAAGAGTCCGCATTATAAGGCAATTAATTTTAAGTTGCAACATTTCTGAATTACACTTAAGCTTACACTTAAAACAGGGAAAAAATCTTACACTTCAAAGGACAAAAAGAAAGTGTGCTCACAAACCATAACGGATAAGCAGTGTTACAGTGTCGCATACAGAATTTATTTAGATGTTACCTCAAGAGTTCTAACATGCTGTATTCACAGAGTGTGTCAGAAATAGTAATGATTTTGCAGTGAATACACTTAAAAGGCAGTAAATAAGTAATAAATTCAAGTTCTGCTTTTCTGAGCATCACATTCGAACACAGACTTCAGAGGAAAATGCAGCAGAATATTTGGCCTTGGATAAAAAAAGAACTGGAAAAAAAGTAGTAAAATCGGTTTCTACTAAAGCGTAGCAAGTGTTTCCTTGGGGGAGAGTGAAGAAAATGAGAGAGAGGAAGGAAAGACATTTCTTTGCTCTTTTCATTTTGCAAACTCCCACTATCTACAAACCTCAGTAGACTCACAATGATATAGTATAAGAAACTGGTAGCTAAACAATATCGTTTTCCTTCTTCTGAATTAGTAAAGAATAGATTTATGTTTCTTAATATTTTAATTTTAGCAGATAGGATCAAAACACAAGGAAAAACCAATGTGCCAGCTCTCTCTGTGAGAATGGCTGAGGCTCCATCACTCCCACAGAAGCCGCCTGGTGCTATCTTGTGCCTATACTCAAATACTCTCATTTGAATACGAAGCTGACAGCCTAAATACAAGGAAAATGGAAAACATGTTAAAAAGAGAAATGAAGTTATTGTTGCTTTTCACTTCCAGTTATTGTTGAAGCTCCTTTACTGCTACTGATTGTTTATACTGGTAAGATTATAAATTATTATAATTATTATCTAATTATTTTAGATAACTTAAAAACATACAACAAATCTCAAAACCAATGTTTCATAAAGTTTCATTTAAGCAGTATCCCATAACATTTTCAGCTGTTAGAATATTATCCATAAATGAGTTTACTTTTTATGATTATGTAAAAATAACTGCCACTGCTATTGACTTTGATTTCTTGCATATTAGTAATTTGTAACAGTATTTCTAAAGTGGGTGTGTTTCTTAGAATATTAAATTTTAAAACTGCTCAATATAACAACTTGCTTTATAAAACTGATTTGATCACTTCCAAATCTGAAGCATGTGCAAAATAAAATAGTGAATACCAGGTCCCAGATCTAAGAATTTAGAATTAAATTGAACAAACATGAATCCTAGTGATTTCTTCATTAAACTCCAGTTTATAATTTATTGATTTATCAAACCAAATATATTTTTCCTGTTGATTATAGTACAGAATTTGAATTCATTAAGAAAAGAAAATCAGAGTGTGCAATATACTTATTGAACAGATGTATAAACCTGTTTTTTTGTCCTGATGTTTGATCAGTTCAGCAGCCAGCTGGAACAGAATTTCTCAGACTTGAAGCCAAGTTCTTCCCTTTCCATCCCCAGATGGAGGACATGATGCTCATCACTCATTACTAGTGACACAAAACTATAACAGCTAGCTAAGTTGTTCATCTTCCGTCTCACAGAAAGCAGAACAATGTATGCACAATAGTTAGGAGGTTACAGGTAACAGAAATATCTGATGGAAGAGGTTGTTTAATTTTAAATTTTCTTCCTGTATCCCATTTTTTCCATCATCACATAGCATAAGCTATTCATCATTATGCTGAAAGAGAAACAGCTGCTGATAATTTTCAGCACATGAATACTGAGATAGTTTAGAATCTTACCATGTGAAAGGCAATTGTAAAGCTATATAACTTTCTGGAGGAAAAAAGCCAAATGGAAAACTTTACATCAGATCTTCCAGCTGGTCAATGGCAAGGCTAACTACTTGAGCAG